GCAACTTTACAGCCAACCTTGTTTTCTGATACAACAAGACAACATTATGTATGTTGTCACATCATATCACACCCACTTAGCCTTACAACAGTGAAGTAGTTTGTTCTGGGCAAAGTTCAGATGTGCAGGAAATCAGGTAATTTAAAGTTGATGAGAAGGAACAAAGAGAAAAAAACTTCCCTAATGATGACTCCTTCCTCATCCTTTATCACAAGTCCTTTTACCTGCTATCAGTTTTACCTGTTACTGGTTTGTTGTTACACACACACCCCTAAGATAAAACTGGTCTATTAATAGCTCTTACTATGGAAAATTTTAGAGGTCAAGATATTAGTAACAACTTTCCCATTCCTCTCTGATTAGAGAAATCACTGGTGGAAACATGTCATCATCATCATCATCATTGAATTGTCATAGAATGGTTTGGCTTGGAAGGGATCTTAGAGATCATCTTGATCCAACCCTGCCATGGGCAGGGACATCTTCTACTTGTCCAGATTACCCAGAGCCCCATCCAGCCTGGCCTGGAGCACTTCCAGGGCAGACACAGCTTCTCTGGGTGACCTGTTCCAGTGGCTCACCACCCTCACAGGAAGCATTTCTTCCCATCTACCCCCGTCCTCTGCCAGCGTGAAGCCGCCCCCTCTGTCCTATCACTGCTGTCATCGGGAAGATTTTTCTGCAGGTGTTTTGTGTCTTATTTGCGTGGAGTTAGATTGACCCAACGCCGCAGAGACTGAGTTCATGCGAGGAGAAAAACATCTCTTCTCAGTAACGGCAGCACTCGATTTTCTCTGGGAAGGAGAGGGAATAGGCGCCTGTAGTAACTTTTTCCCAGCACAGTTCCTGGCAGCTGCAGCGGGGCAGCTTTGGGATCAGGGCAGCTTTGGGACCGGGGCGGTTCTGGGATCAGAGCAGTTCTGGGACCAGGGCGGTTCTGGGACCGGGGCAGTTTGGGGATTGGGGCGGTTCTGGGATTGGGGCGGTTTTGGGACCGGGGCGATTCGGGGACCGGGGCGGTTCCGGGACCGGGGCGGTTCGGGGATCGGGGCGGTTTTGGGATCAGGGCGGTTCTGGGACCGGGGCAGTTTGGGGATTGGGGCGGTTTTGGGATCGGGGCGGTTCCGGGACCGGGGCGGTTCTGGGATCGGGGCGGTTCGGGGAGCAGAGCAATTTTGGGATCGGAGCGGTTCTGGGATTGGGGCGGTTCGGGAATCGGGGTGGTTCTGGGATCGGGGCGGTTCTGGAATCAGGGCAGTTCTGGAATCAGGGCAGTTCTGGGACCGGGGCGGTTCGGGGATCGGGGCGGTTCTGGGAGCAGAACAATTTTGGGATCGGAGCGGTTCCGGGACCGGGGCGGTTCTGGGATCGGGGCGGTTCGGGGATCGGGGCGGTTCTGGAATCAGGGCAGTTCTGGAATCAGGGCAGTTCTGGGACCGGGGCGGTTCGGGGATCGGGGCGGTTCTGGGAGCAGAGCAATTTTGGGATCGGAGCGGTTCCGGGACCGGGCGGTTCCGGGATCGGAGCGGGCCCGCCAGGGGGCGCGGTGCCCGCAGCGCCGCTCCCGCCCGGGCGCGGGGAGCGGAGCCCCGCGGGATGTATCCATGGAATGAAGCCGCTGTCCTGCTGCCCAGGCTGCCAGCCCGCACGGCAGCTCAGCGGAAATGCCAGCTGCGTTCTGTGGGATTTTCTCCCAGGGGTTTGCTCAGGCGCGGTGAAGGGAACGCTCTCCTGGTTCCAGCCAGGAGGAGCAGCGCCCAGCAGGACTCTGGTCCAGCAGCTCTGATAGCTCAGTTTGCCTGTAATTGGAATAACTGACAGGCCTAACAATACCTGAAAGAAATGGTTGTGGATCTACATTTCCTTCCAGCTTGTTTCCGGGACATTCTGTATTCTCCAAGTCTAACTTTTGTTATCTCAGAAGCATTTGGAGGTAGGACCTTATTAACTGTTCATGCAATACTTATTTTAAAATTGTGGGCTGAATGCCTGACAAAGGAGGTTGAGTTTATCATTCGTTTTGAAAGCTGGTATAAAATTCTGGTCAGGTCCCCCATCTTACCTCTGAAATGCTGTTTAGGTGATCTTCTTATGTTTTAGATGATTTTGCATCAACTCCACTATTTCCTATAGAAAGAAATGGACTCTTTGTTCGAGCTCTGAACACAGTCTGTGGGACCTGCATGTGGAAACAAACTGGCTTCCAAGAAGATCCATGTAAAAGCAGGTGCCATGAACTTCCCTTCTTCTTGATTTCTTGTGATGTCAGTGGCCTGGCTATCAGTCATCCAGACACTCCATGAACTCAGTGTTCTCATAGAGTAATTTAACTTCTTGCATTTATTGCCCAAGAGAATTACCCACTTGTCCTCACGTCTTTGGTGCAGGGAAAGGTGTGGTTGCAGGGAGGGCAGAGCACACAGCCCTGCAGCAGCGGGAGAGCTCGGGAGCACGGGGAGCAGCTGGAGAGGGCTTGAGGGGCTCTCATCACACATACACATCCCCCAGGGCGCCAGGGAGGGTGAATATGATAGGAGCAGACTTCTTTCAGTGGTGCCTAGTGGAATCAACAGAGGGCACAGACAAGGAATTCTATAAAAAATAGCTTTTTTTCACTTCTTTGAAAATCCCTGAGCTTCAGTCTGTGCTGGTGTGCAAGATGCCTTTTGTGCTCGTGGCATGGCAGGAAAGCAGAGCCAGGTGCTGGACCTTCCCAGACTGGTGCACAGGTAGAAGCAGGACAGCAGGTACCTACAGAAAAGAAGGTGATTTGGGAGTAGACCTCTCCCTGGGCAGATGTCATACAAGTGCAGCAAAGGCTGTTAGCACATTGCACTGCTTAGCACATTTAAAATATGTAGCACTGAACATTTTATCCTACATGTTAGGACATCCTAACTCTGAAAGAAATATCAAAATAGTGTGGAATATAGACAATCTGATAAAGACATTAAAGGATTTAATTTTATTTTGCTCAAGTGTTATTTGAAATATTCATGGTGCAAGCTGGGAAGGAGAGATAATTACTCCTGCAATATGTAGATGGATAATATCCAATCTTTCTAGTAAACTTGGCATGTAACTACTCTAATCGATCTGTGGAGGCACCACCACCCTGATTTATGCTGGACTTGATATGATGACTTCAGTTCGAAGTGCTGCAGTGTTAGTTTGTGATCTCACCACTTTGCCTGTCTGCTTCTCCCTGCCAATCCAGCACTTTCAGCCTGGAGCAAAGGCCCTCTCTGCTGGCTGCTTTATTTCTCCTGCTGTTCATTGACACATCCAGAAAAGCCAATTTGTTTGGATCCTGAGTCTGCCAGAACAGGTGAACTTTGTGAAGCCAAGACACAGAGTTTTGACCCCTGCACAATGTCCCAGGAATCACCTTTGTTGCTGATGTGGATTGTCACTGCTGAGGGTGAAATACTGGGGGAACACATACCCTGTCTCTAGAACCCATGGCTGACCAAAGCACTGTGCTCTGAAATCTTGCATTTGCAGCTTTCTGGTGTCTCCTGCATTGCTTTCAAAGCAAAACAGAGTGAAGGCAAACTGTGTGTAGCTAATGATACTGTAGAGTGTAGAAAACTGCTAAGTCCTAGGTCTTTGAGGTAATAATTTGGAATTACTGTGATGTAGAACTAGTGCAACATAGAAAAGGGGAGCATATAAGGAAGGGAATTAATAGTAGATGTGAACATCTCAGTTTGTTTCTTTCCATTTTCATTGCACTTCTGGAAAGCTGTTTGGCTTTTCCAAGACTCTTCTCCACAGTGACGTTTGCTCTTTTCAAGATCCTTTTCTGGAGAACAAGTCGAGCTCCTGTCACAAGATGTGCCCCCAAATTGCAGCTTCTCTTGGCTTTCCACATTGCATGCAGCAGGACCCTTGCAGCAAAGCAGAACAAAGGTTTTAGGTTTTGAGAGCTTGACAACTTGTCCTTTATTTTCCTGGTGGACTAGAGAGTTGTGCCATGGGTAAGGTTTTCATTGCTACTGTTCTAGCCTAAGAAAACATGAAGGGATACCAGGAATTGTTAGGGAATACAAGCCTGGTTGAATCCAGAGAACGAATCTCCAGAGCCTGCAGACACAAGTGGAGAGTTGTGTGATAATCATTCAACCTCTCAGTGGACATCTTGAAAGTGATCTGGAATGTGAAAATGCTCTGACAGAGGGAGTTTGTTTCTGAGTTCAGTGTAGATGACTCCATATCTGGTGCCATGGTGCATCAATCAAGAGCACAACCAGCTCATTCGAAGCACCAGAACAAGCTGGATGTCTACAAGTAGATGACTGAAAGAATCTTAAAAGGAGAAATGCAGGAAATTATTTGATTAACCTTGCCTGGAAGAAAGGTAACTGTAGCCATGGCATTTTATAAAAAATCCTTTGCTAGGATTTTTCCCTCCTGGGAAGCTGAGAGCCTCAGGAGAGAAATGTAAACAATAACTCTCTGCTGCTGTGGAATGCAACAGGTGCATCTTCCATTGGTCCATGTGGGTTGTTTTCAATTGATGACCAATCACAGCCACCTGTGCCAAGGCTGTGAGCAGTCACAGGATTTTGTTATTCACTCTATTCTTGTTCCTTCTAGCTTTCTGATGAATCTTTTCTCTCTGTTCTTTTAGTATAGTTTTAATGTTTTAATATAATATATATCATAATATAATAAACCAGCCTTCTGAGAACATGGAGTCCAGACTCGTGTCTCCACACATGGGGCACCAGACACGACAGGTAACTTTTCTAATAATCACTAATGCATTCCCTTTGCTTTGACCTTCTTAGCAAGGCCATTTGCATCGCAGATTCCCCACGAGGCGAGAGCCGCGGGCTGGTGTAACTGCGTGAAAGATGACCTGAGGGAAACAGGAGCCGAGCGCTCTCGGGAAGCACCGCGCCGGTGGAGTTTGTGCCGGGCTGGGAGAGGAGGAGGAGGAGGAGGAGAGGAGGAGGAGGAGGATGGGCGGTGTGCGGCGGCAGCAGGAGGAAGTTTGGCCGCAGGACCTGGCGGCGCAGGGCGGGCGTGTCCCGGGCTGCGGGCGCTCACCTGGCCCGTGTCAGGTTCCCGCTGGCACTCGCGCGTTCCGTGCCCGCACTGCGCTCTCCAGCACGGAAAATCCCTCCGGACATCTCCGGCTCCTGCTGCTGGGGACAGGCAATGAAGCGAGTCAAGAAGTTCTGGTTTCTCCTTCTCCTGATGGATTTTTTAATTTCCTTCCACACCACAGAGGCAATTTCTGTGATGGCCTCTCTCAGTTTGTTCTATTTCAACAGCACCAGCAACAGGACGGTGTTTGAGCGCTGTGAATGCGGCCTGTATGGCTTTAACTCTCCTTACATTGGTGCTCAGGGGGTGGTGGGCATTCCAGCAGCTGCTGATCACTATGCCTGCGACAAAAATACCGACTTCACTGTCACAGAAGCACCGTGGATAGCCCTGATTGAAAGGGGCAATTGCAGTTTTGCTGAAAAAATTCAGGTGGCAACCAGAAAGGGTGCAGCAGCAGCCGTGATCTACAATTCTCGAGGCAGAGGCAACAACACCCTCCTGATGGCACATCAAGGTGAGTGACAGGCTGCAGGCACCTGGTCATTTCTTTCTCAGAACTTGGGTTCAGGGCTCTGAGGAATCAGGGGCGTTTTCAGGGGTGTTCGTGGGTGATTGTTGTTCTGATCAAGAGATTCAATTAGAAAAGTAACAGGTTATGCAATTTGAGTTGACTTCAGTGCTTAGTCAGCAGGACCCTGCTGTTACATTGATTGGTACAGTGCAGGCAAAGGGCTCAGTGTCTGAAGTTAGTCCTGTTTTTTACCTGTACAAGTTGCAAATTGATGTAGACAGTGATGCAGAGCAACTTTTAGTGTTTGTTTTGAAGGCACCAGTGTATTTTTCGAGGTGAGAGGACACAAATGAACCTACAGGTGTCTGCAGCATAAGTATGTGCTTTGCAAGATAGATCTTGTAAAATTTGTCCCCCCTACATTTTCCTAATTCTCAGAGCCAGGAAGTTCTCAGTGTGAGATATGTGGCTTCAAATAGGTACAACTGGCACGTGGTTTTTAAACCTAAAAGCTCTGCTGGGGATTCCCAGCCACCTGACCCACTCCTGGCTGGCCCAGAGAGTCACTGACCAGGCTGGGATGCACAGGGACTGCTGGCCCCTTGCAGCTGGCTTCCCTGCCAAACCAAGCAAGGCTGGTTGAGCTTCTCCTCAACCACCACCCCTTCCATCACCAACCCTTGTCAGGGCTGCTCTCAATGAGTTCTTCACCCAGCCTGTGTTTGTGCTTTTTAATAATTTTGTGTACTGTAATGCATGCATGTGTAAGAGACTGTGGCTAAGCCTTATGCTCAAAATCCCCAGATCTATAGGAAATTTTGTACTCTGAGAAGGTTCCAACCTTTGGCTTTGGTTCAGTTTTGTCTGAGTGAAAATGCTAAAGCTAAACGTCCTTAAAGTTTTGTAGGCATTTGAGTCCGAGCAGATTGGCTGCTGTTGAGTGCATAAAGCTTGGTTGTATTTTCAGAGGTGTGTTAAGTTTTTCTCTGCCCCTACATGGAACAGGTTTCAAAACAAAAGCACGTTTCTCTGATTGCTTATGGATTTACTTCTCATTATAGCTGGAGCTATTACTGTTGAAATAAGTTGTCTACTTAGATGTGGAATGGGAAAATGAAGGTTTGTTTAGGTTAGGACAAAAGTGTTCCCTTAGTAAGCAATATTGATCTTGAGCAAATTACTTCATCTGCTCTTCATTACTTGCTCTGCACGCTGCTACTGCAGTAGCAAAACCACACCAATCTCCCTGTGCTACCGAGCTGCCAAAACCTGTAGCTGCTGTGCTGGCGGGGTGGATGCTGGTGAGGGGCTGGTTTTGAAGCACCTTTGGAAGGCTGGCAGGGGGAGAGGGCTGGGGAGTGGGCTGGTTTTGAAGCCCCTGTCCCCAGGGGGAATTTAAACCTGAGCTGGGTTTGGCTGTGTAATGCTCAGTGTGCTGCTCTTAGCAGGGGCAATGGGCACCACAGACAGATGACACATTACTGGTTATCAGTCACACAGGCTCAGAACCAGCCCAAAGCCTGGGGTAAACACCGAGTGGTGCTGACTCGTATGAGAAACTCTGAACTCTGTGCTCACACTGGTTTTGTTGGTGCTTGCGTGGGCAGCAGCTGATCCTGGGCCGTGCAGTCGCTGCCCCAGAGCATTCCTTTCTCAGTGATGGGCTCTCTCTCAGAGCTGCAGGCTGTGCACAGTGATGTGGCTGTTTGGGATGTGTTTGAAAGGCTCCCGGGGCTGGGGGCGATTCCTGCAGAGCAGCTGGTAGGAGGCAAGGCCTCTCTGTCAAAAGAGTGGCTCTCTGGAGAAGAGGAGCTCGAAATGTTCTCTCTCATGTCATTTTCTTTTGTTAATTCCCTGGCAGGGCTCTACAGCATTTCACACTCGTTGTTGCAATGACTCTGCCAGCACTCTGACTGCACTGCCTGATGCAGGGCAACTTGGCAGAAGTGTGTAAGTGCTGGAGCAAGGGAGTGGTGCATGCAAACCGGCTGCCCCAAAAACAACTGCAGGGCCCTGGAGAAACAGGACTTTTTGTTGCGAGTTCCATAGATCAAATAATAATTAATGATGCAAACACAACTAATATATAAGTAGAAAAAGGGGTTGCTGGTTGAATTGCCAGTTTTGTAGCATCTGTCAAATGATCGGGACAGCAATGGCCAGTCCAGTGAGGGACCAGTAAGACAACATCAGCCAGGACTGACACCGTGCTGCTGAGTATCCAGCAAACGTGAATTCAGCTGTGGGAAGCAGGCTGGCCCACGGCTGAGCGCCTTGTGCTGGTGCCGCTGTGGAGTGTCAGGAGATCGGCATCCCCAGGAGTGCCCGTGCTCTGCCCGCTGTGCCGGGCTGTGATGGAGGAGGCGAGCCACCCTTCCTGGGCGGCACACGGGGGATCACCCATCACCCCGAGAGGTGATGTCAGGTCACCCATCACCCATCACTTCTGAGAGGTGGCCCAGGTGGGTGACCCTCCGCATCCCCTCGGGATAAACCTGGGTTAGTGGCGCAGCGCGCCCGGGCAGAACACAGCGAGGGGAACGCAGGGATGCGCACCCCGCACAGCACCGCAGCGCCGGGCTCCCCACTCCCGGGCAGCGGTGGGGGCCATTCCCGGCGGGGTTCCCGCGGCGGCGGGCGGAGCGTTGCGGTGCTGCGCGGTGCCGTGCGGAGCGATGGTGCGATAGTGCGATGGTGCGGTGCGGTAGTGCGATGGTGCGCTAGTACGGTGGTGCGGAGCGATGCCGTCGGGGCCCGCGCTGCTGGCGCTGGCCGCCTTGCTCTGCGCCGTCCCGCCGCCCGGTCCGCGCGGGGCGGCGGCGGCAGCGGCGTGGACCGCCTGGCTGAACGTGTCGTGGGAGAACGGCGTGGACCGCAACCGGAGCGGCTGGGAGGCGGGCGAGAGCGGCCTGTACGGGCTGGACTCGCCGCTGCAGTCGGCCGAGGGGCTGCTGCTGCTGCCCGACAGCCCCGACGCCTTCAATGCCTGCAGCGCGCTCACCAACTTCAGCGGGGCCCCGCCGGCCGGCGGCTCCCCGGGCTGGCTCGCCCTCATCGAGCGCGGCGGCGGCTGCTCCTTCGCCGACAAGATCCGCCTGGCCGCCGAGCGCGGCGCCGCCGCCGCCGTCATCTACAACTACCGCGGCACCGGCAACGAGGTGCTGCCCATGTCCCACCACGGTGAGCGCCGGGACGGCGGGGGGCTGCAGAGAGAGGGGTCCCCGCGCTGGGGACGGGGCCCGGCCCGGCCGCGGTAACAGCCGGGAATGTCGCTGCCTCCCCGCGCCACAGGAGTTTCTGCCCGGACTGGCCAGTGCTGTTTCAGGCGCTGATGATGTTGTTTTTTCTCTGATTAATGAGTAACCGTGTCCGAAATCTGCTGCTGGGGCTGGGGACGAGCGGGCTCGGGCCGGGCCGGGCCGGCCCCGGGTTTCTGGCCTGAGCCTGTGGTCGCCAGAGGTGATGGATGCTGAGGGTTTTAATGCCTGTTGAGACTGTGCAGTTGATTGGGGCTGTAAAGTAGGCTGGGTTTCCATGCTCAGGTGCTGTTCCTCCCTGTGCCCTGCACACGAACCAGCTCAGACATAAGCAAAGTGTGAGACTCTTCTGTAGGTAACTTTGCAGCAGCAAAATGCTGCTTCCAATGCAAGTAGCTGAAGGTCTTTAAAGGCAGTTTTCCATTTTGCACAGGCTGATAACTCCTCTTCTCCTGCTATAGAAAGTCTCCTACTTAGTGGAAGGTTTTTCCTGACCTGCCCATCTTTCAAATGAAGAGTGAGATTTGGCTGTGTTTTAGGCCAATGTTACCTGAGAAACAGACCTAGGCTGAAAGCTGTATAAATGCCTTCTGGTGACAGTCCAAGCAGGTGCTCTGTATGTGACAGGATGAGTGGCTTTGGTGGCTGTGCCCAGCTGTTGGACAGAAATGCATCCTCCTGGGTGTGTTGGAGTTCTGTGAAGGGACACTGCTTTGGGAAGCCCTATCTTCTGGAGAGAGATTGAGCAATGAGAGTGAATACTGTGTCTTAAAGCTCTGGTTTGAAAAATAATTATATCCCTGCAGCAACCCTCTTGGAAGGTTTGGAGAGGATTTCTGTTAGCAGTGGAGGCAGGTGTTCTGGTGAGACAAGAAAACAGTAGCTGCCTCTGGAGGTTTGCTGTCTTAATGAGCTTGCAATCTTAAAGAGCTGTAGGACAGTTGCAGCTCTGCTGTAAGAATTCAAAACATACAGTCTGGATAGGCTCTGGCCTTTCTGAGGCAAGGCTTTCTTATGTAATCAAATCATCAGCTGACAAATGCTATTGAGATCTGACTATTGCTGGGCGAGTTCCTCCTGCTGAACTGACAGAGCGTCCCTGCCCTGAGCCCTGCTCACCGTGTGCCTGCCTAATCCTGCAGCTTTGGAGGAGCTCCCTTGGCACTGCAGGCTGGGTAGGTCACTGCTGAGCCTGTTCCTGAGGGGAAGGACCGTGTGCTCCTGCCCCTCTCCATCCTCCCTGCTGGGTGACTTACAGCATCTTAACCTTGCTGGGAGCTGCCTCTCCAAACGAGCCAGGGGCTCTTGGCAGGGTTTGCTCCAGGAGGAGCTCCCTCCTTTCCTGTGCTGTCCTTAAGCTTCCTGCTGGGGCATTTGTGTCAGAGTGGCTCTGACTGTCCTGATTATCCTGCATGATGGGATGGATACTTGAGGGCATGTTGAAACTTCCCAGCTGAACTGCAGACAAATAGGACAGGGACTCCTTGGAGAAGGCAGTTCTGTCAAACCACTTATTTAATCTGCCTGACTCCTCCTTGCCATGTCGTAGCACAATTACTGAGCTAAGCTTCGGCTAAGCTTGTTGCTGCTGTTGCTTTTATTGCTTGTCCTTGTTCTAGTCCCTCACTTTCTTTCCTGTTCCACCCTCCCTTTTGTCATTCTCTGGACTTGAGCTTTTTTTCTATCCTTGTGTCTGTCTGCCAGGCCCTGTTCATGGCTCTTCCCACAGCAATGCTCTTCCTTCTG